TTTATTATTATTATATATTAATAATGATATTATAATAATATATCCCTGAGCCTTTCTCTGTCTTTCTAATAATAATAGTAATAATAATATATAATATATATTATATAATATATCTCCCTCCCTGTAGTAATAATAATAATAATAATAATATATTGTAATAATATATCACTGAGTCTATCTCAATAACAACAACAACAAAACAACAACAAGAACATAAGAGTAATAGTGATATAATAATATAATATGATATAATAATATTATTATTATATAATATAATAATAAAAGAAATTATGAATGGCAACATTCACACTTGCTTTAACAGAGGGTTCTTTCTCCAGAGGCATATGTACACTCCACTTGCTTCACTGTCAACAGAACCTCTGAAGATGCCATTAGCCACAGATGTAGGTGAAACGTCAGGAGAGAATGCTGCTCAAACATGGCCATGCAACCTGGAAAACGCACAGCAACCCAACTCCTTGCTCCTCCCTTCTCCAACTCTGTCTCCCTTCCGTTGCACAGCCCCAAAAGGAACAACAACTCAGCGATCCCGGCGAGAGTGACATGGACACCCTCCGGAGTGGCCCCTTTTGGGATTTCCTCAACCTAGAGCTGGCCTATAAGGCTCCTTGGGAGCACGAAGAAGGAGCCGAGTTTTCGGAAGACGAGCATCCAAGAAGCCAGACCCTGCCAGGTATATTTTGGGATTTGGCCCGAAGCTGAATGGGAGGAATGCCTTGAATGCTAACAACAGGGACTCCTAAAGAGTTAAGGCAAGGCAACACCCCGGGGCTAGACGGGCCCAGCAGGAAGTGCCCGGAGGCGGAAGAGGAGTGTGGAAATCACAGAATGAAGAAGGAGGGACACTTCCACTTCCGATTCTGCCTCTTCCCCCTCTTTCCTCCCTCTTCTTCCTCCTTGTCTTGCCTTTTTCACTGGAATGGAAAGAGAATTGGGGAGAGTTCCTTTAATTGAAGGGGAAATGCTGGAGGAAAAAGGGAGCGTCGGATAAGAGCATCAGATAAGATGGAAGGTCGGATAAGCGAAGGTCAGATAAGCAAGACTCTACTGCAGATGGATAGATAGATAGATGGATGGATGAGTAGGACGAGGAGAAGCTGGCTTCGTTAGTAAGCAGATAGATGATAGAGTAGAAGGAAGGAAATGAAAGCATGGAAGAGCGCCAGATAAGACAGAATGTCGGATAAGTGAAGTTCAGATAAGCGTGACTCTACCATACATGGATGGATGGATGGATGGATGGATGGATGGATAGATGAACAGATGAATAGATGGGCAGATAGATAGATGGATGGATAAATAGATTGATTGATGATGGATGGATGGATGGATGGATGGATGGATGGATGGATGGGTAAATAGATGGATGGATAGATAGATGGATAGGTAGATAAATGGGTGGACAGATGGATGGATAAATAGATGGATGGATAGATTGATAGGTAGATAAATGGGTGGATGGATGGATGGATGGATAGATGGATGGATGGATAGGTAGATGGATAGGTAGATAAATGGGTGGACAGATGGATGGATGGATGGATGGATGGATGGATGGATGGATAGATAGATAGATAGATAGATAGATAGATAGATAGATAGATAGATAGATAGATGGATAGGTAGATAAATGGGTGGACGGATGGATGGATGGATGGATGGGTGGATGGATGGATAGATGGATGAATAGATAGATGGATAGATAGATAAATGGGTGGGTGGGTGGGTGGGTGGATGGATGGATGGATGGATGGATAAATAGATTGATGGATTGATGAATGGATAGATAGATAGCTAGATGGATAGGTAGATAAATGGGTGGACGGATGGATGGATGGATGGATGGATGGATGGATGGATGGCTGGATGGATGGATAAATAGATGGATGGATGGATAGGTAGATAAATGGATGGATGGATGGATGGATGGATGGATGGATAGATAAATGGATGGATGGATAAATAGACGGATGGATGGATAGATGGATAGAAAGAGGGATTGATGGATGGATAGATGGATAGAAAGAGGGATTGATGGATGGATAGGTAGATAAATGGATGGATAATTTGATGGATGGATGGATGGATGGATGGATGGATGGATGGATGGATGGATAGGTAGATAAATGGATGGATAGATGGATAGAAAGAGGGATTGATGGATGGATAGATGGATGGATAGGTAGATAAATGGATGGATAATTAGATGGATGGATGGATGGATGGATGGATGGATGGATGGATGGATAGGTAGGTAGATAAATGGATGGATAAATAGATGGATAGATGGATGGATGGATGGAAAGATGGATTGATGGATGGATAGATGGATGGATGGATAGGTAGATAAATGGATGGATAGGTAGATAAATGGATGGATGGATGGATAGGTAGATAGATGGATGGATGGATAGGTAGCTAAATGGATGGATAAATAGATGGACGAATGGATGGATGGATGGATGGATAGATAGATAGATAGATAGATAGATAGATAGATAGATAGATAGATGGATGGATGGATAGATAGATAGATGATAGATAGATAGACAGACAAACAGATCAAAGGAAGTAGGAGAGCCTGGCTTAATCAGTAAGCAGATAGATGATGGAGTAGAAGGAAGGAAGAAGGAAGGGAATACGGACGGAAGGAAATGATAGGATGGAAGAGCGTCGGATAAGACGGAATGTCGGATAAGCGAAGGTTGGATAAGTGAGACTCTACTGTAGATTGGTAGATAGTTCAAAAGACTTGCCGTGTGGAACCCAAAAGGCTTTTCTGACTCCTCGCCTGGCTTTGCTTTCCTTGGCCTTATAGGCAACACAGAGCTGAGCGATACCCCCAATTCCATGGGTCCCCCGAAACCGGCGGACTCGCTCCTGTCCACCGAATGGGCCACCATGAAGAAGAAAGACGAGGCGACCGTAAGTTGAGAGATCTTGAATCTACTCGATCCTCTTGGCTCTGGGTGTTTCCGAAGTTCTTAAGTTTACGCCTCCTTTTCTCCCCTTTTCTCCTTACAGAGGCTGCTCTGTCACGGATTGCCCCCCACCCCAAAAGTCCACGTAAGACCCACGCACTTTGCTACTTTTGTTGTCATCAGTATTCAAATCCAACATCTGTCGGGAGGGCTTTGGTGGTGTCTTCCTTCCCGAGGGGGTGGACTAGATGGTCTTTAGCGGTCCCTCCCCATTCTGAAATTGGATAAGAGTTGGATAACTCTTCTCATTTTGGATAAGAGTTGGAAGAGACCACAAGGGCAGGAAGACACAGTCGAAGCACTCCTGACAGAGGGTCATCCGGCAACGTGATCACACTTTTAAAAGTCAATCAAAATATGCTCCTAAAGCTTTCGTTCTCCCTTTTTTTGCCAGATGGGAGCCTGTTTCTCCAAAGTCTTCAATGGTTGCCCGCTGAAAATCAATTCAGCCACGACGTGGATCCACCCGGAGACGAGAGGTAAAACCCATCCGTATTCTGCCCTGAAGTTTTCAAATCTGCCAATCATTCGATCTAATGCAGTTTCCCTTCTGGCGCAGATCTCTATCTGTTGGTGGGTGCGGACGAAGGCATTTATACCCTCAACCTGCATGAACTGCATGAAGATACAATGGAGAAGGTAGGATTCATCATCGTCATCCTATATTATTGTTATTATTATTAATAGTATATTATTATTATTATTATTAGTAGTAGTAGTAGTAGTAGTAGTAGTAGTAGTAGTATATTATTATTTGAATATTACTATTATTATTTGTATATATAATTACCACTACAGAAATAATAAGCAACAGCCAGGAGACAGGTGTTTTTAAAGGCTTATCCTCAGTCCCCTTCCTTCTCTTAGCTGGCTTGGGAGGGGGAGAGTAGCGGCAGGATTTCCTCCTCCTCCTCCTGAGGTGGCAGGCAGATGTAGTGAGCAACAGCCAGGAGACAGGTGTTTTTAAAGACTCATCCTCAGTCCCCTTCCTCCTCTTAGCTGGCTTGGGAGGGGGAGAGTAGCAGCAGGATTTCCTCCTTCTCCTCCTGAGGTGGCAGGAAGATGTAGTAAGCAACATCCGGGAGACAGGTGTTTTTAAAGTCTCTTCCTCAGTCCCCTTCCTCCTCTTAACTGGCTTGGGAGGGGGAGAGTAGCAGCAGGATTTCCTCCTTCTCCTCCTGAGGTGGCAGGCAGATGTAGTAAGCAACAGCCAGGAGACAGGTGTTTTTAAAGTCTCTTCCTCAGTCCCCTTCCTCCTCTTAGCTGGCTTGGGGGGGGGGAGAGAAGCAGCAGGATTTCCTCCTTCTCCTCCTGAGGTGGCAGGCAGATGTAATAAGCAACAGCCAGGAGACAGGTGTTTTTAAAGGCTTATCCTCAGTCCCCTTCCTTCTCTTAGCTGGCTTGGGAGGGGGAGAGTAGCGGCAGGATTTCCTCCTCCTCCTCCTGAGGTGGCAGGCAGATGTAGTGAGCAACAGCCAGGAGACAGGTGTTTTTAAAGTCTCTTCTTCAGTCCCCGTCCTCCTCTTAGCTGGCTTGGGAGGGGGAGAGTAGCAGCAGGATTTCCTCCTTCTCCTCCTGAGGTGTAGTAAGCAACATCCGGGAGACAGGTGTTTTTAAAGACTCATCCTCAGTCCCCTTTCTCTTTTTAACTGGCTTGGGAGGGGGAGAGTAGCAGCAGGATTTCCTCCTTCTCCTGAGGTGGCAGGCAGATGTAGTAAGCAACAGCCAGGAGACAGGTGTTTTTAAAGTCTCTTCCTCTGTCCCCTTCCTCCTCTTAGCTGGCTTGGAGGCGGGGGGAAGCAGCAGGGTTTCCTCCTTCTCCTCCCGAGGTGGCAGGCAGATGTACTAAGCAACAGTCAAGAGACAGATGTTTTTAAAGATTCTTCCTCAGTCCCCTTTCTCTTCTTAGCTGGGGTGGAGCGGGGGAAGCAGCAGGATTTCCTCCTCCTCCTGAGGTGGCAGGCAGATGTAGTAAGCAACAGCCAGGAGACAGCTGTTTTTAAAGTCTCTTCCTCAGTCCCCTTCCTCCTCTTAGCTGCTTGGGAGGGGGAGAGTAGCAGCAGGATTTCCTCCTTCTCCTCCTGAGGTGGCAGGCAGATGTAGTAAGCAACAGCCAGGAGACAGGTGTTTTTAAAGTCTTCCTCAGTCCCCTTCCTCCTCTTAGCTGGCTTGGGAATGGGAGAGTTTCCTCCTTCTCCTCCTGAGGTGGCAGGAGTTTTTAAAGACTCATCCTCAGTCCCCTTTCTCTTCTTATCTGGCTTGGGGGCGGGGGGAAGCAGCAGGGTTTCCTCCTTCTCCTCCCGAGGTGGCAGGCAGATGTAGTAAGCAACAGCCAGGAGACAGGTGTTTTTAAAGACTCATCCTCAGTCCCCTTCCTCCTCTTAGCTGGCTTGGGAGGGGAGAGTAGCAGCAGGATTTCCTCCTTCTCCTCCTGAGGTGGCAGGCAGATGTAGTAAGCAACAGCCAGGAGACAGGTGTTTTTAAAGACTCATCCTCAGTCCCCTTCCTCCTCTTAGCTTATTATTATTATTATTATTATTATTATTATTATTATTATATGCATTATAATGTTTATGATCCAAGAAGCAATGGTTTCTCTCCTTGGTTTCTCCAGCTGCTTCCCCATCGGTGCGCTTGGCTCTACTGTATGAACAATGTACTACTGACCTTAGCTGGTGAGTAACTTGCAAAACTACAACTCCCTGGATCCCAGAGCCTTGAGCCATGGCGGGTCAAGGTGTGCTCGAACTTTGCCTCTTTAGGGAAGTCTTCCCAGGTGTCCTCCCATAACCTCCTGGGCCTCTTCGAGCAGCGGCGCCAGCTGCAGAAGCGCCAGGTCCCGCTTTCCCTCGCTACCAACCGGCTGACGGAGAGGATCATCCCAAGGTAGGGTTGAAACGTCCAGGTGGCCATCTGTCGGGAGGGCTTGCATGAGGTCTTCCTGACACCTTTTTGTCCCTTTTTGGCAGGAAATTTGCACTGTCAGCCAAGATCCCAGACACGAAAGGATGCTTGAAATGCCGCGTAGGTGGGTCTGTGTCTCTTTTGCACCTTTCTGATATGAAAGTTGAGACGTACGAGCCCTCTCGACAGATGGCCATCCAGCCATCTGCCCAACTGGGACTTCTTTGATGGTGACTGCCTTCATGTTAGCCGACTTGAGTCCCCATGGGGAGAAAGGCGGGGGTATAAATAAGGATAATTATGATGATGATAATAATAATATTTAATAATAATAAAATAATAATAATTGATAAAAATAAAATAATCATATTTGATAATAATATAAAAATATAATGATAATGATAATAATATTGGATAATAATAAAATAATATTTAATAATAATATTATAATAATTTATAATAATAATAATAATTGTATAATAATATTTAATAATATATTTAATAATATATTTAATAATATATTTAATAATATATTATTTAATATCATATATTATTATAAAATTATTATTATTATTATTATTATTATTAATAAATTAATAATAATAAATATAATAATGATACATAATAAAAAAATTAATAATAATACAATATATATAATAATAAATATTATAATGATAATAAATTATAAAATTAAGTAATATAATATAAATGATAATAATAAAATAAATAATATTAAATATAATAAATAAAATAATAATAATTATTTATAATATAATAATATAATATAATGTAATATTGATAATAATATAATATATAATATAATATATGTAATAATATTAAATAATAAAATAATATTTAATAATAATATAATAATATAATATAATAATAATATAATATACAATATAATAATACAATATAATATAATAATAATTTTATAATAATATAATATAATATTATAATAATATAATATATAATATTATAATTATATAATAATAATATTTATATAAATATAATATAATTATTATAATATATAATTATAATAATAATATTTTATAATAATATATTAATTATTATATATGTAATATAATATATAATAATAAAATAATAATAATATAATAATAATAATATAATGAATAATAATAATTATAATAATAAAATAATATTTGATAATAATATAATAATAATGATCATAATAATAATAATTATATAATAATAATAATAATAATATAAAAAGACATATTTTATAATATAATATAATATAATAATACTATACATAATAATAATATAAAATGCCATATTTTAATACTACAATCATAATATAATAATGATAAGGTAATATAATATAATATAATACTATAAATGATGACGATGATGATGATGATGATGATGATGATGATGATGATGATGATGATGATACTGGAAACTGGATAATAATAAAAATGATACTGGAGAATTGCAAAAGCCGCAAAACAAACCTCTATGCAACTTGGATTGATTACGAAAAAGCAGTTGACTCTCTGCCACATTGTTGGATTATCAAATGTCTAGATGTCATCGGAGTTTGTGAAAATATTAGAAAGTTCACTGAAAATGAACCCCATTTTTCCCCAAACCGGCAAATGCCTATGAGGTTGGATGGCCATCTGTCGGGAGAGCTTGATTGGTGTCCTTTTTCATGACCTAATGGGGTGGGACGGCCTTGAGGTCTCTAGCATTCTATGATTCTGATGTGAACGTAGGTGAGTCCATCCGTCTCGCCTTGCATTTCAGTCCGAAATCCATACTCCGGGAGTACTTTCCTGTGCGCCGCCTTGCCCTCCAGCCTGGCATTACTCCAGTGGTACGAACCACTGCAGAAGTTCATGCTCTTGAAGGTAAGAGAGGGGTCAGAGGGAAGGAAGGGGTCAAATGGGTTTGGAAGCCGAGAAAGCCACATTGTTGGATCATCAAGTGTCTAGATGTCATCGGGGTTTGTGAAAATATTAGAAAGTTCACTGTTTCCTCTCTTCCCAGCACGTCCCAGTGTTGCTGCCCAGTCCCTTGACCTTGTTTGAACTCTTGGTGGTGGAGGCGGAGGAATTCCCGCAGGTCTGCTTGGGGGTCGCGGGCAGCGACCAGCCGGGTACCGAGCTGCATTTCAGCATCCTTTCGCTCAGCACCGGGCTCTGCACCGCAACTCCCTCTGGTAGGTTTACCATTGGAGAAGTCAAACCCTAGCCTTCTAGTTTCTGAATTCCCAGATAATGGGGTCAGACTAGATGACCTCAAGGGTTTCTTTCCAGTGGTTCATCAACCCTTTTGTCCCCCTCTTCCTTGCAGGTCGGCCGCTTGTTTTGGCCAGCCACGTCACGCAGATGGACCGGGACACCGTCCTGGTGTGTTTCGAACGTACGTACATTGCTTAGTTTTTTGTTGCCCTTCGGTTGTTGTCTCTGTTGTGGAGTTGGAAGAGAAGAAAGAGTAACACACACATACAACGCCTCTGCTAGTTAGCATATGTATTCCTTCTCTCATTGCCTCCTCCAGCTGTGCAATGGGATGGACTGTCTCAAAGGCAAGTAGTTAGTTCCAATCCCCGGAATATTGCAGAGTCTTGGTCACAGTTGGCAGAGATTTCATAGCACAGCCTCTGGACCTTGTATCTCACCAGTTTGAATAAGCACACTTCCTCTATCATGTCCTACTCTTCTAGCTGCGCAATGGGATGGACTTTCTCAAAGGCAAGTAGTTAGTTCCAATCCCTGAAATGTTGCAGAGTCTTGGTCACAGTTTGCAGAGATTTCATAGCACAGCCTCTGGACCTTGTATCTCACCAGCTTGAGAAAAGCACACTTCCTCTATCACGTTCTCCTCCTCCAGCTGTGCAATGGGATGGACTTTCTCAAAGGCAAGTAGTTAGTTCCAATCCCTGAAATGTTGCAGAGTCTTGGTCATGGTTAGCAGAGATTTCATAGCGCTGCCTCTGGACCTTGTATCTCGCCAGCTTGAATAAGCACACTTCCTCAATCACATCCTCCTCCTCCAGCTGTGCAGCGGTATGGACTTTCTCAAAGGCAAGTAGTTAGTTCCAATCCCTGAAATGTTGCAGAGTCTTGGTCACAGTTGGCAGAGATTTCATAGCGCAACCTCTGGACCTTGTATCTCACCAGCTTGAATAAGCACACTTCCTCTATCACATCCTACTTCTCCAGCTGCGCAATGGGATGGACTTTCTCAAAGGCAAGTAGTTAGTTCCAATCCCCGGAATGTTGCAGAGTCTTGGTCACAGTTGGCAGAGATTTCATAGCACAGCCTCTGGACCTTGTATCTCGCCAGCTTGAATAAGCACACTTGAGCTCTGGCTTGCATCCAGACTCCTTTGGAGGTTGATTCTTCAGTCGTTGCTACATACAACTATTTACAGGTCTGCTATCAGCATACAGAGATAGTCACAACCTTAGCAAGACACTCACACGACGAGGATGGTGATGGATTGACAGATGCAGAGAGATCATGGCAAGGAATCAAAGATGGCAGAGAGCAAGCACAGGGCAAAGAGGAAGTGCTCATAGAAGCCACTCCTGGAGGGAGAAATGACTCTAGGATCCCGTCTCCGCTCTCTCAACCCTTTTAGTGGAGTGTGTTGTGAACACATGTCCATCAGAACTGTATTTTGCCATACACTTGGAGGTAGAAGCAATGCATTCTGATCTATTGCAGCATTTTCTCCCTGACAGTCTCAGTGTCTCCCTTGACTCTCTTTATCTCCTTCCCATAGGCTGCGTGAGGGTGGTCAACCTGCGAGGGGTTCCCCAGGGCGCACTCATGCCGGAGCTCACCTTCAACTTCCCGATCGAGACCATTGGTAGGTTATTCCTCCGTTGAGCTTCCCATTCCCACGCATAGGCGTCCCTCACCTGGAATGACCCCTGTGGTGTAGAGTCTTGGTCAGTGTTAACAGAGATTTCATATCACAGCCTCTGACCTTGTATCTCGCCCACTTGAGGCCCCTTCTATACTGTTATATAATCCATATTATTTGCTTAGAACTGGATTATATGAGTCTATCTACACTGGAATGACCCCTGTGTCCTTTTGCCAACTATGTGGTGCAGAGTCTTGGTCACAGTTAACAGAGATTTCATATCACAGCCTCTGACCTTGTATCTCACTAACTTGAGGCCCCTTCTATACTGTTATATAATCCACATTATTTGGTTAGAACTGGATTATAAGAGTCTATCTACACTGGAATGACTCCTGTGTCCTTGAGCCAACAGTGTGGTACAGAGTCTTGGTCACAGTTAACAGAGATTTCATATCACAGCCTCTGACCTTGTATCTCACCAACTTGAGGCCCCTTCTATCCTGTTATATAATCCATATTATTTGCTTAGAACTGGATTATGTGAGTCTATCTACACTGGAATGACCCCTGTGTCCTTGAGCCAACGGTGGTGCAGAGTCTTGGTCAGTGTTAACAGAGATTTCATATCATAGCTTTTGACCTTGTACCTCACCAATTTGAGGCCCCTTCTATACTGTTATATAATCCACATTATTTGCTTAGAACTGGATTATATGAGTCTGTCTAAACTGGAATAACCCCTGTGTTCTTTAGCCAACTATGTGGTGCAGAGTCTTGGTCAGTGTTAACAGAGATTTCATATCACAGCCTCAGACCTTGTATCTCACCAACTTGAGGCCCCTTCTACAATGTTATATAATCCAGATTCTCAAAGCAAATAATCCACATTATTTGCTTAGAATCAGATTATATGAGCCTGCCTACACTGGAATGACCCCTGTGTCCTTGAGCCAACTATGTGGTGCAGAGTCTTGGTCACAGTTAACAGAGATTTCATATCACAGCCTCTGACCTTGTATCTCACCAACTTGAGGCCCCTTCTATCCTGTTATATAATCCACATTATTTTCGTGGAACTGGATTATATGAGTCTATCTACACTGGAATGACCCCTGTGTCTTTTAGCCAACTATGTGGTGCAGAGTCTTGGTTACAGTTAACAGAGATTTCACATCACAGCCTCTGACCTTGTATCTCACCAACTTGAATCCCCTTCTATACTGTTATATAATCCACATTATTTGCTTAGAACTGGATTATATGAGTCTGCCTACACTGGAATGACCCCTGTGCCCTTGAGCCAACTATGTGGTGCAGAGTCTTGGTCACAGTTAACAGAGATTTCATATCACAGCCTCTGACCTTGTATCTCACCAACTTGAAGCCCCTTCTATCCTGTTATATAATCCACATTATTTGCTTAGAATTGGATTATATGAGTCTGCCTACACTGGAATGACCCCTACGTCCTTGAGCCAACAGTGTGGTGCAGAGTCTTGGTCAGTATTAACAGAGATTTCATATCACAGCCTCTGACCTTGTATCTCACCAACTTGAGGCCCCTTCGATACTGTTATATAATCCACATTATTTGCTTAGAACTGGATTATATGATTATATGAGTGTATCTACACTGGAATGATCTCTGTGTCTTTTAGCCAACTATGTGGTGCAGAGTCTTGGTTACAGTGAACAGAGATTTCATATCACTGCCGCTGACCTTGTATTATCACGTGTTTCCTGTATCTAAGACCACAGATTTCTCTCTCCCTCATTCATTATTATTATTATTATTATTATTATTATTATTATTAAATAAATAAAAATTAAAAATAGATCTAAATCCACAGATTTCTTTCGCTCCCATTTATTATTATTATTATTATTATTATTATTATTATTAAATAAATAAATAAATAAATAAAAATTAAGAATAGGTCGAAAACCACAGGTTTCTTTCTCTCTTATTTATTATTGTTGTTGTTAATGTATGGATTTCCCCGCAGTGTGCCTTCAAGACAGTGTCTTGGCCTTCTGGAAGCACGGCATGCAAGGACGAAGCCTAGAATCCAATGAGGTGAGCTCAAAACAGCATGAGATATACCATAAGAGTAAAATAATAGCACTGCATCACATCTCTGGTTCACATCTCTCCGAAGCTCTAGGTGCTCTTACTGCCTATTACAGGGAAAACCAACTGATCCCGAATCCATCTAAAACACAGACATGTGCCTTTCACCTTAAGAACAGACAAGCATCCCGAGCTCTTGAGGATTATGACCTGGGAAGGAATCCCACTGGAGCATTGCAGCGCACCCAAGTACCTGGGAGTCACTTTGGACCGTGCTCTGACCTACAAGAAGCACTGCCTGAACATCAAGCAAAAAGTGGGCGCTAGAAACAATATCATACGAAAGCTGACTGGCACAACCTGGGGATCACAACCAGACACAGTGAAGACATCTGCCCTTGCGCTGTGCTACTCTGCTGCTGAGTATGCATGCCCAGTGTGGAACACATCTCACCACGCTAAAAGAGTGGATGTGGCTCTTAATGAGACATGCCGCATTATCATGGGCTGACTGGCACAACCTGGAGATCACAACCAGACACAGTGAAGACATCTGCCCTTGCGCTATGCTACTCTGCTGCTGAGTCTGCATGCCCAGTGTGGAACACATCTCACCACGCTAAAACAGTAGATGTGGCTCTTAATGAGACATGCCGGTCGCGCCCTACACCACTGGAGAAATTACACTGCTTAGCCGGTATTGCACCACCTGACATCCGCCGGGAAGTAGTAGCAGCCAATAGTGAAAGGACCAAGGCAGAGACATCTCCAGCTCATCCCCTGTTTGGGTATCAGCCAGCACGTCAACGACTTAAATCAAGACATAGTTTTCTTAGATGTACAGAGACACTCGCTGGAACACCTCAGCAAGCGAGAGTCCAAAAGTGGCAGGCTCAAACCCAGAACTTGATAATAAATGAGAGACTCCCCCCTGGGCACACAGAGGACTGGGCGACTTGGAAGGCGCTGAACAGACTGCGCTCTGGCACCACGAGATGCAGAGCCAACCTTCAGAAATGGGGCTACAAAGTGGAACCCTCGACATGCGAGTGTGGAGAGGAGCAAACCACTGACCACCTGCTGCAATGCACCCTGAGCCCTGCCACATGCACAATGGAGGACCTTCTTGCGGCAACACCAGAGGCACTCCAAGGGCCAGATACTGGTCAAAGGACATTTAACCAACTACCAAATTTGCAAAATCTGTGTGTTTTTTCCTTTTTCTTTTTAATCTGTGTGTTTGTTTTGCTCTGTTAGAATTGTAATACAATGGTTGCTGATGACACGACAAATAAATACATATAACTGCATCACATTATGATTTTTGTCCCTGGGTTGTAAATCTCATTTCCTAATTGGTTCTATCATAAAAATATGGGGAAAGTTTATGAATGTCCAATTTCCTATTTAACTCTCACCCAATTTAGGTTCAATTGTTTACCTGAAATTCTTGGGACTAAAAGTGTTCCATATTTTGGAATTTTTGGATACTTGCATATTGATATCATAACCAAATATACAGGAATTTCCTGCTAAGTTTTGACATTGTTCCTCAACAGGTAACGCAGGAGGTAACGGACGAGTCCAGAGTATTCCGGGTTTTGGGAGCTCATAGGTGAGTCTATCAGCAAGTGGGATAATAATTGTCTTTATTGATTAATAATAATAATAATATAATTTGGTAATAATAATTCACTTTATTTCCTATTAATATAATATTTATAATAATAAAATCATTATTGAATAATAATAATAATATAATTTGGTAATAATAATTCACTTTATTTCCTATTAATATAATATTTATAATAATAATCATTATTGAATAATAAGAATATAATTCAATAATAATAATTCACTTTATTTCCTATTAATATAATATTTATAATAATCATCATTATTGAATAATAAGAATATAATTCGATAATAATAATTCACTTTATTTCCTATTAATATAATATTTATAATAATAATCATTATTGAATAATAATAATATAATTTGATAATAATAATTCACTTTATTTCCTATTAATATAATATTTATAATAATAATAATCATTATTGAATAATAATATAATTTGGTAATAATAATTCACTTTATTTCCTATTAATATAATATTTATAATAATAATAATCATTATTGAATAATAATAATATAATTTGATAATAATAATTCACTTTATTTCCCATTAATATAATATTTATAATAATAATAATCATTATTGAATAATAATAATAATAATATAATTTGATAATAATATTCACTTTATTTCCTATTAATATAATATTTATAATAATCATCATTATTGAATAATAATAATAATAATAATATAATTTGATAATAATAATTCACTTTTTTTCCTATTAATATAATATTTATAATAATAATAATCATTATTGAATAATAATAATATAATTTGGTAATAATAATTCACTTTATTTCCTATTAATATAATATTTATAATAATAATCATCATTATTGAATAATAATAATATAATTTGATAATAATAATTCACTTTATTTCCTATTAATATAATATTTATAATAATCATCATTATTGAATAATAATAATATAATTCGATAATAATAATTCACTTTATTTCCTATTAATATAATATTTATAATAATATTTTCCTATTAATATAATATTTATAATAATAATAATCATTATTGAATAATAATAATATAATTTGGTAATAATAATTCACTTTATTTCCTATTAATATAATATTTATAATAATAATAATCATTATTGAATAATAATAATATAATTTGGTAATAATAATTCACTTTTTTCCTATTAATATAATATTTATAATAATAATAATCATTATTGAATAATAATAATATAATTTGATAATAATGATTCACTTTATTTCCTATTAATATAATATTTATAATAATAATAATCATTATTGAATAATAATAATATAATTTGATAATAATGATTCACTTTATTTCCTAATAAGATAATATTTATAATAATAATAATCATTATTGAATAATAATAATAAAATTTGGTAATAATAATTCACTTTATTTCCTATTAATATAATATTTATAATAATAATAATCATTATTGAATAATAATAATATAATTTGGTAATAATAATTCACTTTATTTCCTATTAATATAATATTTATAATAATAATAATCATTATTGAATAATAATAATATAATTTGGTAATAATAATTCACTTTATTTCCCCTTAATATAATATTTATAATAATAATCATCATTATTAAATAATAATAATATAATTTGGTAATAATAATTCACTTTATTTCCCATTAATATAATATTTATAATAATAATCATTATTGAATAATAATATAATTCGATAATAATAATTCACTTTATTTCCTATTAAGGTAATATTTATAATAATAAATTAATATTGTTAGGAAAATAGAAGGAAAATAATAATGGGAAATTTTATTTTAATTATTTTCCTACTAGCTGAATAATTTAATAAAAATATAATAATGAAATTTAATAAATAATAATAGTTCACTCTTATTTATTTCTCATTAAAGTTATTATTAGTACTATTGTTAAATTATTATTATTACATTATTCAGCTAGTAGGAAAATACTTAAAATAAAATTTCCCATTATTATTTTCCTTATATTGAATAATTTAATAAAAATATAAAAATGTAATAATGAAATTTAATAAATAATATTAGTTCACTCTTATTTATTTCTCATTAAAGTTATTATTAGTACTATTGTTAAATTATTATTGTTACATTATTCAGCTAGTAGGAAAATACTTAAAATAAAATTTCCCATTATTATTTTCCTACTATTTTCCTAACAATATTTATTATTTTTATTATTATAAATATTATATTAATAGGAAATAAAGTGAATTGTCATTATCAAATAATAATAATAATATAATTTGATTATAATTTAACAATAGTACTAATAATTTAATAATAATAAATTAACAATAGTACTAATAATAACTTTAATGAGAAATAAGTAAGAGTGAACTATTATTATTTATTAATTTTCATTATTATATTTTTATTAAATTATTCAGCTTGTAGGAAAATAATAATAATAGTAATTTAATAAGAATTTTCATTTAATAATAATTCACTATTTATTTCTAAAAGTTATTATTAGTCATTATTATTATTATTCAATAATAATTCACTATTTATTTCTCATTAAAGTTATTACTATTAAAGTCATTATCAAAATATTAGTATATTATTATTATTATTATTATTATTAAATTATTATTCAGCTAGTGGGAAAATAATAATTTAATATAATAATTTAATTATAATGACTTTAATAATAATAATAATGTAATAATTATATTGATTACAAATAACTAGAGTGAATTATTATTATTATTATTATTATTTGCTCTATTTAATAATAATAATAATAATAATAATGTAATAATAATAACATTAATTACAAATAAGTAGAGTGAATTTTTTATTATTATTATTATTAAATAATAATAATATTTAAAAATAATTAAATAATTATTATATTAAATAATAATTTGACTCCACTTTAACTAGAAATAAATAGAGCAAATAATAATAATAATAATAATAATAATAATAATAATAATAACATTGATTACAAATAAGTAGAGTGAATATTATTATTATTATTATTATTATTATTATTATTATTTGCTCTATTTATTTCTAGTTAAAGTGGAGTCAAACTACATTCATCCTCCAGCATAGACTCACTCAGGCAATAGAATTGTTCTCTGAATTGTGTCCGGAAACCGAACGGAGTGTTGTAACGAGGGCATCACATGTTTCCTGTATCCAAAGCCCTGCTTTTAAAAGCTCTGTAAAGTTTCTGCACACCATACAAAGGCTGCCCGGCCATTGTGTTGCCGTAATCCGAACAGGATATTGTTCAAGCCTTCTGTCGCTGTGCCCAGATCGGATGCACACAGTTGGAAATGTGCAAAGACATTGCCAGTTATTAGGGCTGCTTGAACGAAAAATGGCTTTTTTGGGTTGGTCTGGATGGCCTTTGGGGGTCCCTTCCAACTTTATGATTTTGTGTATTATTATTATTATACTTTGGATGCAGCAGGATGGCTATCAGGAAGACAGAACTGGGTTGGTCTGGATGGCCTTTGGGGGTCCCTTCCAACTTTATGATTTTGTGTATTATTATTATTATTATTACTATACTTTGGATGCAGCAGGATGGCTATCAAGACAGCAGAACTGGGTTGGTCTGGATGGCCTTTGGAGGTCCCTTCCAACTTTAAGATTATTTTGTGTTATTATTATTATTATTATACTTTGGATGCACCAGGGTGGCTATCAGGAAGGCAGAACTGGGTTGGTTTGGATGGCCTTTGGGGGCACCTTCCAACTTTACAATTATGTTTTTCTTCTCCAAACAAAGGGACATCATCCTCGAAAGCACTCCCACCGACAATCCAACGGCGCACAGCAACCTTTATATCCTGACAGGTCACGAGAGCAGCTACTGAGCAAAAGTTTCCAAGAACTTTCCAAAAAGTTTCCGAAGCGTTTTTGAAAACTTTCCGAAAAGTTTCCAAGAAGTTTCCGAAAAGTTTCCAAAAAGTTTCCGAGAAGTTTCTGAGAAATTTCCAAAAAGCTTCCGAAAAGTTTCCAGGAAGTTTTTGAGAAGTTTCCGAGAAGTTTCCAAGAAGTTTCCGAGAAGATTCTGAGAAAGGTTTCCGAAAAAAAATTGAGAACTTTCCCAAAAGTTTCCGAAAAGTTTCCAAGAAGCTTCCAAGAAGCTTCTGAAAAGTTTCCGAGAAGTTTATGAGATGTTGCCGAGAAGTTTCTGAGAAAGTTCCAAAAAACTTCCGAAAAGTTTCTGAAAAATTTCCGAGAACTTTCTGAAAAGTTTCCAAAAGTTTCCAAGAAGCTTCTGAAAAGCTTCTGAAAAGTTTCCAAGAAGTTTATGAGACGTTGCTGAGAAGTTTCCGAGAAGTTTCAGACAAGTTTCCAAAAAGCTTCTGAAAAGTTTCTGAAAAATTTCCCAGAACTTTCAGAAAAGTTTCCAAGAAGTTTCCGAAAAGTTTCTGAAAAATTTCCGAGAACTTTCTGAAAAGTTTCCGAAAAGTTTCTGAGAAGTTTCTGAAAAGCTTCCGAAAAGTTTCTGAGAAGTTTCTGAAAAATTTCCGAAAAGCTTCTGAAAAGTTTCCGAGAAGTTTCTGAGAAGATTCCGAAAAACTTACGAAAAGTTTCCAAAAAAATTCCGAGAACTTTCTGAAAAGTTTCCAAAAGTTTCCGAGACGTTTCTGAGAAGATTCTGAAAAGCTTCCGAAAAGCTTCCGAAAAATTTCTGAGAACTTTCCGAAAAGTTTCCGAGAAGTTTCAGAAAATCTTCCGAAAAATTTCCGAAGAGTTTCCGAAGACTCGCACATCTTATGCAACGGACGGTTGTTGTTCTTGTTGTTGTTCCTGCACCTGTACGGAAGGAGATACTCCTCCTATTGTTGCCAAGAGGACAGATACTGTTTTTGGGATTCGATTGGGATCCGTTCGGGATTTTCCTGAGATCCCGTCACCTCTCCGGACGGATCCAGCATCTTCCTGAGATATTTTTGTCGCAATAAAACCGACGGCTCGTTGTCGTCGTGGTCGGTTTTGGGGGGGATTTTGCCACCTCCCCTGTCTGATGCCTTAGGATTTGCTTGAACGCTCCCCCTTTTTTCATTTTTCACTATATGCATCCAAGTGCAAGACAATCGTGCGCCACGACCCCTTCCTTTCCTTTGCACTGGAGCTTTAACTTAAAACACGTACCGTTCAGGGCACTTTTTTGAGATTCAGAGTTTATTTTCGGACGAACGAAAAGAGAGAAAAAAATAGGTCAATTTATGTCTGCACTGCTGAATTACTGGATTATTGGGGTAAATAATTTATAGGATCGTGGGGCCATCGTTTTGCAGCCCTTGGCTCTTTATTGTGCTCTTTTTCCGGGCAGGAAATGCATATAATCCGCCCCAAAACGGTTCTGAAAGTCTATATTTTGCCTTAATATAATATGCATTGTGTTGATATGCAAACCCCACTTTAGAAGCCAGAGATTAGCCAACCAGGAATATGTTCCCTTTACTAGCATTAAAATTAACATGTATTAGATTTTCGGCCAAACCCTGCGTGCGTCTACATTGCAGAACAGTTTCTGAAAAGCTTCCGAAAAGTTTCCGAGAAGTTTCCGAGAAGTTTCTGAGACGTTTCAGAGAAGGTTCTGAAATTTTTTTTGAAAACCTTCCGAAAAGTTTCTGAAAAGTTTCTGAGAAGATTCTGAAAAGCTTCCGAAAAGTTTCCAAAAGATTTCTGGGAAGTTTCCAAAAAACTTCCGAAAAATTTCCGAAACTTTTCCGAGAACTTTCCGAAAAGTTTCCGAAAAGTTTCTGAAAAGCTTCTGAAAAGCTTCCGAAAATTTCCAGGAAGTTTCCGAGAAGATTCGGAGAAGATTCTGAAAAGTTCCCGAAAAGTTTCTGAGAACTTTCCAAAAAGTTTCCGAAAAGTTTCCAAAAAGTTTCCGAAAAGTTTCTGAAAAGCTTCTGAAAAGCTTCCAAAAATTTCCAGGAAGTTTCCGAAAAGTTTCCGAGAACTTTTCGAGAAGTTTCTGAAAAGTTTCCAAAAAAATTCCAAAGACTTTCCAAATCACTGGAGTTGTAGTTGGACTAAAGCACGAAAAGTTTCCGATAACTTTCCGAGAAGTTTCCGAAAAGTTTCTGAAAAGCTTCTGAAAATTTTGCATAGCCTTGGGTCATGCCAAAGTGGCACCAAACCGCATTAATTCTGCAGTGTAGACGCACCTCTTGCTGATTCCCGGCTTCCTGTGTGAATGTGTGTTCTGTCTCTGTGTCTAAATACTAGTCTCAATAGGCTTTCTGCTTGCCACTCCGAATTTTTGATGCTACGATGGAGGGAATAATAATAATAATAATAATAATAATAATAATAATAATAATAATAAATTATATATTATTACAAATAATATATTTCTTATTATATTATTTCTTATTATTATGTAATTTATTATTTCTTATTACTATATAATTTCTTATTATTTTGATCAAATAAATTATTATTATTTCTTATTATTCTTATTTATTATTATTATTAATCCCCAAATAATAATAAGAAATAATTTATATAATAAGAAAAAAGAAGAAATTATATGTCAACAAACTTATTATTCTTAACCTGTGATTTTATTATTACTATAAATAATAATAACAATTTATATATTATTATAAATAATATATTTCTTATTATAATGTAATTTATTATTATTATATAATTTCTTATTATTTTATCAAATAATTATTTCTTCTTATTATTTATTATTATGAGTCCCCAAATAATAATAAGAAATAATTTATATAATAAGAAATATGAAGAAATTATATGTCAACAAATTTATTATTAATCTGTGATTTTTATTATTATTATAAATAATGATAACAATTTATATATTATTAATAACAATATATTTCTTATTATATTATTTCTTATTATTATGTAATTTATTATTTCTTATTATTATATAGATTCTTATTATTTTTATTATATAAATTATTATTATTATTATTTCTTATTATTATTAATCTCTAAATATTAATAAGAAATAATTTTATAAGAAGAAATAAGAAGAAATTATATGCTAACAAATTTATTCTTAATCTGTGATTTTTATTAGTATAAATAATAATAATAATAATAATAATAATAATAATAATTTGGGGTTTGTAATAATAATAATAATGATATACATTATTATTATTTCCTATAATGTTATTATAATTTGACAAATTACTACTAATAATAATAAATTATATAATAATAGTGATAGAAAAAAGTAATATTTTTTATAATTTATAATTATTATTATTATTATTTGGGGTATTAATAATAATAATAATTTATGATGATTATTATTTAATTTATTTTTCTTATTATTTCCTCTGCTGGAAACTCGAAGCATCAGGTGCCAAGGACTTTTCCCTTCCCCGAAGGCTGCTAATGAATTTATTTTGTGTTTTCTAATGGCTAAAGCTGGAATTTATTGTCCTGAGCAAACAAACTTGAACAGAAAATGAATATTTATCAAATAAATGGATATTAAAATGAAATGCATGAGGCTCTTTTTGCATTGGGAGGGATTCAATAAGGAAGGTTTGCTTTGCTTCGTCCAGAACTGGGCACAAGGTTATTCCAGGTCACACATGATATCTCAAAGCGAACCCAGAAGTGTACTATACAGACGTTGATGGTCACCTCTATTTTTATTAGATCTATGCATTAGCAGGGACTGGCCAAGCCTTCAGTAGGCGGGGAAAGGAGACAGGCTTGGCGCATGCGCAGAAAGCTTCCCTACTCGGCCTGAACAAAACTCTAGTTCTACGCATGCGCGTCAAGCCTCCAGCAGGCGGTTAGGGGAGAAAGGCTTGGCGCATGCGCAGAAAGCTTCTCTAAGCTACCATTTCTAGGTTCGGGTTCTACGCATGCGCGCCAAGCCTCCATCAGGCGGGAAAGGGAGACAGGCTTCGCGCATGCGCAGAAAGCTTCACTCTACCATTTCTAAATTCGGGTTCTACGCATGCGCGCCAAGCCTCCATCAGGCGGGGAACGGGAGACAGACTTAGCGCATGCGTAAAAAGCTTCCCTAATCTACCATTTCTAAATTCGGGTTCTACGCATGCGCACCAAGCCTCCGGCAGGCGGGAAAGGGAGACAGGCTTGGCGCATGCGCAGAAAGCTTCCCTAATCTACCTTTTCTAGGTTCGAGTTCTACGCATGCGCACCAAGCCTCCAGTAGGCGGGAAAGAGAGACAGGCTTGGCGCATGCGCAGAAAGCTTCCCTAATCTACCTTTTCTAGGTTCGGGTTCTACGCATGCGCACCAAGCCTCCAGCAGGCGGGGAACGGGAGATAACGCATGCGCAGAAAACTTCCCTAATCTAGCTTCGGGTTCTACGCATGCGCACTAAACCTTTAGTAGGCATGACAGAGAGGCTGGCTTGGCGCATGACCAGAAGCTAGTTTTGTTAAAGCCGTTTAGGGAAGCTTTCTGCGCATGCGCCAAGCCTCCCACTCTGTCCCGCCTAATTCAAGGCGTGGCGCATGCGTAGAAAGCTTCCCTAATCTGCTTTAACAAAACTAGCTTCTGGTTCTACGCATGCGCGACAAATCTTTAGTAGGCATGACAGAGAAGCAGGTTTGGCGCATGCGTAGAAAGCTTCCCTACTCCCTTAACAAAACTAGCTTCTGGTTCTACGCATGCGCGCCAAACCTTTAGTAGACGTGACAGAGAGGCAGGCTTGGCGCATGCGTAGAAAGCTTCCCTAATCTGCTTTAACATAACTAGGTTCTAGTTCTACGCATGCGCGCCAAACCTTTAGTAGGCATGACAGAGAAGCAGGTTTGGCGCATGCGTACAAAGCTTCCCTAATCTCAAAACTAGCTTCGAGTTCTACGCATGCACGCCAAGCCTCCAACAGGAGGGGAAGGGAGACAGGCTTGGCGCATGCGCAGAAAGCTTCCCTAACCTGCCTTTTCTAGGTTCGGGTTCTACGCATGCGCGCCAAGCTTCCAGCAGGCAGGGACAGGATACAAACTTGGCGCATACGCATGAAAGCTTCCCTATTCTGTCGTAAAACTCTAGGTTCACGTTCTA